TCAGTAGGTTCTCCTGGGGTAATTCCGCCTGCTTGCTTCTTCTTCAGCTCTGGGAAGATGGGAATATTCTCCAGCATTTAAACTCTCATGAACGGCTGTGGAGCGGCTTCACTGAAGGAGTCAATGGAGCTCATTTCACACACAATCACTCTGAATTAAAGCTTCTTTCAATTCTTTAATTCCCACAGCAGTGCAGAATATTGCTGAAAGATAAACGCTGCGAGAGTATTGAATAGGATTGATTGCTGTAATTAGACATCCATTAAACGTGTGAATGTGTGAAAAGTAAAGACAAAGGAATAGTTTGCAAATTGCAGATATGAGCATTTAAACTAAAAACTACAGTTTTCTGGAACTTCTGTGTGAGATTATATGGATTAAAAGGTTAAACGCACAATTAGAAAAATAATGTTTTAAAATAAAACTATCTAGAATGATAGTTCTTAAAATGTATGTCAGAAATAAACTATTATTCGGTTGTTCATATTGTTACGCGGTTAAATTGGGATTTGTTATGTGGGGGGGCTCTATGGTGCCGGGCTTTTAAGGGGTGCACATGTGTATGATAAGCTGTAAAATATAACAAGTTAAGAAAGCCCTCTGCTATGAACACTAAAATGTTGATCAAAATCATTCTAGATGCTGGCAGTGTGCAAAGCTACATCTGATGACAATACAATCTTTCTGTAGGCCTGTGCCATCTCCTTTGTGTCAGTATCAAAAAAATGAATGATATTGCCATTAAAGGAGAGAATATAAATACAAAATATTAAGAATAGAACAGTCTTTTTATTAGGAAGATTAAACTGGAATTAAGTAACCTCATTACTTAATCTTTCATTTCAAATTCTTACATTTGATCTATAAAAAAAATTTTTTTTTTTTTACAATAATTTTTGCACTAATATCGGGACCTTCGTGTCATTTTTCAAAACTCTAGACAAATAATTCACAACCGATTATCAAAATGAAACATTTTCAAAACACTTAACACTTTTTCCAAATGCTTGGATACAATTCACATAAACCTATAGATCATTTGCTCACTGAACTAAAATCACAGGTTCAAAATGACACAACTTAGCATCAAAGTATAACACTTTTTCCCAATTGCTTGGAAACAATACACATGAACCAAAGATCTTTTGTTCATTTAACTAAAATCACTGTACAAAATGACACAACTTCACATCAAAGTTCTACTATTTCAAAATGCAACTCACACATTACATCTGAATTGAGTGTCTATTCATTTCATTACAATGATCCAACTATCTATTGATCCAACTGCTCAAAAGTAACACTAAGTTGCAAAAAGTTGCAAACAAATTTTTAAATTACACAAAGATGACTGCTACAAAATGCAGTTTTGAAATGCCGTTTTCATTTATTAAGGGAAAAAAGCTGTCCAAACCTGCCTGGCACAATGTGAAAAAGTAATTGCTCCCTAAATCTAATAACTGGTTGTGCCACGCAAGAACTGTGATGCCTTTGGTGCAAAGAAGGAAGCTGATGATCAATGGACTTTCCTGCAGGACAGCTATCCTAAAGTACAAATCCAAATCTACTTCGGCTTGGTTCAGGGATCAGTCATAGGATGTACTTGAGTGGCCTGTTCAGTCTCCAGATTTAACTCTCATTGAAAATATTTTTTTGAATTTGAAGAAAGCAGTGGCAATGTGAAAACTAAAGATTATCAGTGATCTAAAAGCTTTTTCCGAGGAATGAGCCAAGACTGCAGTAGACAGTCTCAGAAGCTTCTAAGCACTTTTAGGCATGGTTTGTTGGTGGTTTTAAAGAACAAAAGATTCTGCACAAAATTTGACATTTGGGGGTTGAATAATTTTGAACATGAATGTTTAGAGCCAATTAGATTTTTATCATGATTCATCAATGTTACATTCTCAGAATCACTCATATGTGTATTAATAAACTTTTTCTAATAGTTCACTGATGCCTTTGTTGAATTGTTTTCATAAAATGTTGTTTTCTGCAGCAAAATGTTTTGCAGGTCAACAGTTGATTGCAACTGCATATGTATATATATATAATCTATGAAGTAAAAACAACTTATTTATATTGAAATAAACTAATTTAAAAGTTAGTTCAGATTTTAACCTCTAGATGGCAGAACCTCCTCCTGAATTGCTTGATGAATATAAATGCAGTTTATATATATAAGTGAAAAATTTAAGGGGGTCTGAATACTTTCCGTACCCACTGTATATATATATACATATACATATACATATACATATACATACATACACAGAGTAGTAATAAAGCAATGATGAATACGATGTTAAACCGCTAACATTTAATGTAAACTAAAGTACATTTATTTGTTAAATGAGTTGTGTAAATACTTTTGTTGCTTTTTATTTCAAATTATACAAAAATTAAAAGGAAATAGATCAAATAAATGATATCATCATAATAAAGCAAATTAAATGCTCAAATGTGACTGATTTTTAACATATGTTCGTACAGACTGAGAGATAATAACAGCACATGAACATTCACAGTGTGACAGATTTAAATGTAAGAGTCTTTTCAATATGTATCACTTCTAAAAAAAAAAAAAAAAAAAAAAAAATTATCTGTGAATATATAATGGACTGATGTTGCCAGTTACACAAATGCTTTTCTCACTTATACATCTTCGGGCAATGCTTTTTCTTGTGAATCAGCAGATTAGGTAAGTGAGCGAAACTCTTCCCACATGAAGAGCACTGGTGCGGCTTTTCTCCAGTATGAACTCTCTCATGATCTTTCAAGGATTTGAAGTAAAAGAAACTCTTTCCACAGTGTGAGCATTTGTGAGGTTTCTCTCCAGTGTGAATCTTCTGGTGCTCTATTAAATTACTTTGTGCAGTAAAGCTCTTCCCACAGTCACATATGTAAGGTTTCATACCAGTATGTATATTCTGGTGCTCTTTTAATGTGTACAGTCGTGAAAAACTCTTTCCACAAAGAGAACAAACGTGAGGCTTCACAGCAGCATGAACTTTAAGGTGTGTTCTTAGGTGTGATACCAAAACAAATGTTTTATCACACTGATCACAGCTGAATGATCTCACTCCAGCGTGAGAATCCAGATGATCTTTGAGAGCACTTCTGTCTCTGAAGCTCTTTCCACACCGAGTGCATTTGAAAGGTTTTTCTCTAGTGTGAACCATTAGGTGTCTGGTCAAGCCTTTTTTGTCAACAAAATCCTTTCCACACTGAGTGCATGTGAACAGATTCTCTCCGGTGTGAATTCTCATGTGTTTCGTAAGTTCTTGTTTACGTGAGTAACTCTTTCCACACTCGGAGCAGGTAAAAGAATCTTTGACTCCAGTTTTTTCAGCTCGTTTTTGTGTGAAATTCTCTTCGGTCTGTGAAATAGTGTTTCCATCTTCATCTGTGAAAAGATGAGGTTTTTGAAATCGATGCCATTTGTTTTTATTCATTTCCATCAAGTCTAAATCAAAAATTTAATTCTCAATATAATATTAATTTAAATAAGGACAAAAAGTAATGTAAGTTAACCTCAATTTAGCAAAAAATCTAATGTATAGTTTTAAATGTATTGTTATATGTCAGTTTTCATCTGAATATTCCTCATAAGTCAATACAGAAAACGAAGGAAAACACCAACCTGTTTGTTCCTCTGTATCTTCATCTCTCATTCTGCAGGGGTCTTCCTCAAACTCCATCTTTCCAACAGTATGTCAGTAGTTTCTCCTGGAGTAATTCCTCCTGCTTGCTTCTTCTTCAGCTGTGGGAAGATGGGAATATTCTCCAGCATTTAAACTCTCATGAACAGCTGTGAAGCTCATTTAGCAGATGCTAAAACACTCACAATTACTCTCAATCATCCAGCTTTAAGTGTTTTGGGCAAATTGTCGTTTTAGAGTGTTATCAGAAATTAGCTTCAAATTTCCAGCACTTGTAAAGAAATTAATTTATTCATTATATTGCTTAGCACAACTCAAAATCTTCACACGTTGCTGTGTAAACAAGCAGTCAATATACATTTCAGTATCGATAGATTAGGATAATAGAAATAGAAATAGAACGCGGCACCCGTTCAAAAGAATAGACACAATAAACACTTTTTTTTTTTTTGCCTCCTTGGAAAACTAATGATAATGATACTTCAAGTCCAGTCCAATCAAATGTCATTAATGTCAACCCTTACCAAAAAGTAGTATACTTCAAGTTTATTTTAGTAAGTATACTTAAGTAAAGTTCAAGTATATTTTTAAGTATACTTTATGTGGCAAGTATACAAATATCAGTGTACTAGTAGTATACTTGTAAGTGTACTATTTCAATACTCTTTGGGACTAAATTGGCCCACTTTATAGTATATAAAAGTAGTAAACTAGTTTACAACAATATTTTTAGCTTGTACTGCAACTATACTAAAAGTGAACATATGAATACTGATAGTTTACTAATTAAATACTTGTAGCATTTTTAGTACACTTTCAAGTATAGTCTTAGTAAACTACTAGTTTAGTAGTTTTATACTGCAAGTATACTCGTAAGTTTTCTTTAAGTGAACTTTACATCATACTTTAAGTATACTATTATGTCCCTATTTAGGTATTAATTTGAATATATGTTGTTACATGAATATCTGAACATACAAAACATCAAAAGAACAGGGTATCTGCTTGTAAACAAAAACATTTTATTCTAGCTTCATGCATTCTTTTTTTAAACACTTGAATGTGGGCAAGTTTCATAAATAATAATAATAAAAAGAAATAAACAACATTTTGAACAAAAAGCTGAAAAAAAGAATATGAATTGGATTCAGAATGATAATCAAAACGTAGATCGAGTCGATCAACACCCCAAAGCTTGACAGTCATTATTACCTCTTCATTGGTCGACATTACATCAACTTTACACAGTTTTGATGCTGTTTTATGTCTGATGATTGTGTTAGATTACATGTGGAAGCATCTGTTGTTTCGGTTTCTTCTTCACTTGTGTTTTTTGAAAATTCTGTACAGAAAATGTGTACTAGTGCCCCCTACAGTATAACAATGAAAACACGGATTCTAGGAACACAAGTATAGCTCAAATATATTTAGACTTTTTCTAAGTATGCTATAAATCAAGTATACTTAAATGATATACTTAAAAATATACTCATTTAAAGTATATTTTTGAGAAGTACATAAATCCCATTTCTGAGAAGTACATAAAAAGTAGACTAAAAGTATACTTTCCTATTTTTTAGTTTAAAAGAAGTATACTAATAGCACACTTGAATAAACTTCTTTTTCGTAAGGGAAGTGGCATTCAATTAGATTTTTTTTTATTATATATATGGCCTAGGCTGTTTAACAGTATCTGGGCTAAATAAAGGCATTTAAAATATATTATAAATAAAATATGTAATATACACCACCAATCAAAAGGGGTCAGTGAGATTTTTTTTTTATGGTTTTGAAACAAATCTCTTCTGCTCAGTAAGGCTGCATTTATTTGATCAAAAATAAAGTGAAAACATTAAATCTACCATTTGAAGGAACTGCTTTCTACATGAATAGATTTTATAATGCATTTTCCTGCATACTAAAGCTGCATTACTCCAGCTTTCAGTCTCACATGATCCTACAGAAATCATGCTGATCGCTGCTCAAGAGTGACAAAAAAAAGTGAAAGTGACAAGAAACATTTCTTCTTATTATAGCTGTTATATATAGCTGGCAATGGTTGCGCTGCTTAATAAAATGCGTGGAGGTGTTTTTATTTTCCGATGAACAGAAAGATTGAAATATAAATATGAAATGGGAAATAGAAATGTGAATTATTTTAAATGATTTAAAATATAAATATTTGTTAAGATTATTAATGTCTTTACTGGCATTTTTTTTTTTTTTGGTGCACATTTTTTATTGCAAGATAGGGTACATATCAACATCATAAGCCACACCACACTGACATAAAAAAGCAAGATATGAATTTAAGATTTAATGGACTCATGCCTAACAAAGATATAAATCAGGACAGCACTAAAATAGTAACTATTTTGATGAGAAGCATAGGCTTCCCATCTTTCTAGTTTTCTTTAGAGTATTTGAAAGGAAACTTTGAAATATTCTCACAAAATTTAAGAAGTAAAGGAGGGTTTACATTTCTTCCATGTGCATGTGTAAATGTGATATTTACCCACCTAAATTACCATGTTCAGTCAGAAAACAGGGAATTCAAGATATTTTAAAAACAGGGTATTTTCTAAAACTATAAGGGATAAATATGAATATTCTTCACTGAAAGTTTATTTAAAACATCCACCCAAAAATTAGAGGTAAATCACAGCAGTATAGAAAAAGTGTTCAAAAGTTCCAGGAAAGGAAGAACGAGTTGCCATAAACACAGACCACACATATTTGATTCTTACTTCAATTTTTTTTCCTTCATATTATTTAAATAAGAAAACACATCTGTAGTTTTTATATTTGTTTCAAATGATTCTTATACAAGATGAATAGCAATATTGAATACATTGTTAAACATTTTGATTTCACACAAACTAAAGTACATTAAATAAATTGGTACAATTAGTTTTATACTTTATTTCTCAGTTTCAAAATGTGCAATTAGTGCATTACACACAACATTTAAGAGGTCAGAAAATATCATTACCCAAACCCTTCTTCAACCATAAGCTATGCCATGACCAAACTTACTGATTTTGAAATATTTTCATCCACACTGTTTACAGATTGAGTTTCAAACACCATAAAACAGCTCGTGAACATTTACAGTCATTTACAGAGTGATTTCAATCTAAGAAAGTTTTTTCAGTATGTTCTCAATACATATAAAGTTACAATAAAAAAGTTGTTTGTGATATGGATGATGATTTTATGGATTATTGTTGCCAGTTTCACAATAGCTCATATGCACAATTAATGTGATTAATTTAACTCTTCAATATAAAAATAAACATACCCCTTCATAAATCATAGCATTTTATGGCTACACTCTAGCATCTAAAACTATCAGTTTGACCTTCCAAAGGGAAGGAAATCACATTGTTGGAACTGATTCCAGCTATCGCTTTACCTGAGCATCAATTTATTTACCGTACTTGAATGTCATGGATCTGAAAGCAAACTTGTCTCCCAGCAATCTGCAATCTTTAGACAATCTTTAGCAATCTTTAGACAACTTTGGGCCATGCTTTTTCATATGAACCTGTAGAGCAGAGAGTCGGGCAAAACTCCTCCCGCATGAAGAGCACTGGTGTGGCTTCTCTCCAGTGTGAATCATCTCATGCTTTTTTAAATATGACGAGTAATTAAAACTCTTTCCACAGTGTGAGCACTTGTAAGGTTTTTCTCCAGTGTGAGTCCTCTGGTGTTGTTTTAAGAGGTTGGGTTTAACAAAGGTCTTTCCACAGTCAAAGCACAAATGAGGTCTCACATCAGTATGAATACTTTCATGTTCTTTTAAAGTTTGCGGTCGTGAAAAACTCTTTCCACAAAAAGCGCAAAAGTGAGGCTTCACACCAGTATGAAGTTTAAGATGTCTTAAACTTGATGGGAAAAAAATTTGTTTATCACTGATCACAGAAAAACGACCTCACTCCACCATGAGAAGACAGATGGAGTAGTAGAAAGGCACACTGAGTGCATGTGAACGTTTTTTCTCCAGTGTGAACTCTTGTGTGTATTTCTAAGTTTTGTTTTAGAATAAAACTCTTTCCGCACTGTATAAGGCCTCTCTCCAGTGTGAACTCTCATGTGTCTGTTAAGTTCTGGTTTACGTGTGTAACTCTTTCCACACTCTGTGCAGGCGAAAGATCCTTTGACTCCAGCTTTTCCAGCTTGTTTTTTTTTTTCAGTCTTTGAAATGATAGCGTTTCCATCTTCATCTGTGACATAAGGTTTTTGAAACCGATGCTGCTTGTCCTTATTCACTTCCATTGAGTCTAAAAATCAACATATATGAATTAATTAATAGGCTATTCAATTAAAGAATAAAAAATGGGAAAGAAAATTAAATATAACCGAGTCTCAATTTAGCAAAAATTGGCTTATTACTGATTTTAACTGAATTTTAGATGTATTGTTTTATGTCAGATTTCATCTTAATGTTCCTCATCAGTCATTAAAGAGAATGAAGGAAAACACCAACCTGTCTGTTCCTCTGTATCTTCATCTCTCATTCTGCAGGGTTCTTCCTCAAACTCCATCTTTCCAACAGTATGTCAGTAGTTTCTCCTGGAGTAATTCCTCCTGCTTGCTTCTTCTTCAGCTGTGGGAAGATGGGAATATTCTCCAGCATTTAAACTCTCATGAACGGCTGTGGAGCGGCTTCACTGAAGGTGTAGAATAGAAAAGGGTCCTGTCCAAACTGTTGCTATAAAATTAGAAGCGCACAATTCCCTAGAATATCATTATATGCTTAAACATTAAGATTTGTACTCATGGAAATTACTAAAGTGGGGAATATTCCCCAGCATTTAAACTCTCATGAACGGCTGTGGAGCTCATTTAGCAGATGCTCATCATACTTTCAATCTCTGTGTTTTGGCCAAACAGTCGTTTAGAAACAATATCATGAATTGATTTATTTCATTTAAAAGTTTTACTGAATAAAAAGAAAAATCAGACACACCGTATGGAACAACACACGAGTCTTGACTTTTACATATAATAAACTCCACAAACATACACATAAATATACATTTCACCTGCCCTCTGCTACTTAACAATGACTGAAATAATCTCAGTTAGATTGTGACTATATTGTATTGCAAAATCAATGCTATATATTTCAATGTATAGAATGCCAATGTTGACATTTAATCGAAACTAGTTTGCACTTCTATAGTATAACCTATAGTTTATAATAGTGTTAAGGGTGCAAAATGGTTACGAATAAAGTTAAATGTTTGCAGCATGTGTGTAAAATGTTTCCAAACAGACTGTATAGTGACTCTATAGTAACAAGCATCAAATGAGTGTTGTGTTCATCTACTGTACATAACTGTTATTTTGTAAACATTTTTTTTTTGTCTTTATCTTCTCAAAAGTGTCGTTATAATCAGAAATGAGGTCTAGATTTCCAGCACTGTTAAACTATCAGTTCTTCAATTCTCACAGCAGTTCAGAGTGAAGCTGAAAGATTATTAATGAGGGTTGATTGCTGTAATCAGACATCCATTAAACCTGTGAATGTGTGAGAAATAAAGACAAAGGAAGAGTTTGCAGATCATAAATATGAGCATTTAACTTAAATACTCCAGTTCTCTGTCAGACTTTTGCATAATAATTTACAGGTAAACAGATGGGTTAGAAAATAATGTTTTATTTTGTTTACAAAACTGACTCTAGAACATTTCTTTGTTAAGTGTGTCTGAAATTAAAATATTCTTTGAAATAGTATGATGCTAGCAACTTCCTTTTGATGATACAATATTTGGAAGGGGAAAAAAGTCTGTTGCAAAATGAGCAAAATGAAAATAATTTTCAGAAGGTGTCACACAGACTTTTAAGATGCAGATAAATGCAGTCTAATAATTGGTCACAGCTTTATGAAATACAAATAAAAAATACAAAATAGAGTGGAATAAAATATGATGGTTTATATATTCTGTGAAAATGACTTTTAGGATAAAGACGTGTTCACCTTAACATTCTTTCACCTTTGTTAATCCATGTGGTGCATTACTTCTTCAAACAAAAATCATCATTACATACACACGTTGTAATATGTAATATTACACCCCCCCAGCCCCGGCCCCCATCATGTGCACCTTCTACAAAGGCACCATCGAGAGCATTCTGACGAGCTGCATCACTGTGTGGTATGGCGCCTGCAACACGTCCTGCCGCAAGACACTTCAGCGCATAGTGAGAG